GCCAGGATCCCTGGGTCTGGAAGTGTTCCTGGGTCCCTGGAAGTGTTCCAGGCCAGGATCCCTGGAAGTGTTCCAGGCCCCTGCATCCCTGGAACTCTTCCAAGCCCCTGGATCCCTGGGTCTGGAAATGTTCCTGGATCCCTGGAAGTGTTCCAGGCCCCTGCATCCCTGGAACTGTTCCAGGCCAAGTTGGATGGGGCTTGGAGCAGCCAGGACAGTGGAAGTTGTCCCTCTGCATGGGTGCAGGAATGCTCAATCGCTGTTAAACATCCCTGGTTAAAGGATGTGATGCCTCAGGTTTTAGCTTTTATCTATTTTTTTTTTCACATTCTCTGCTGCTTTAGTGGGTCTGGGCATCATATTAGGGGATGGTGAGTTCTCTTCACAGAGCAGTGATATAGAGTGAAAATTTAATAGGGTAGGAATTTATTTGGGTATTGGTGAAATGTGTCACTTTTTGCTTGTTAACATAAATGAAATATGTTGTTTAGTCTGGTAACTGCAGCATTAGCAAAGTTGTCCCAGCTAAGGAGAAAAAAATACAAATTTCTACACTAAAAAGATAAGAGACAGACAAGGCAGAGTGACTCGAGTTCTTTCTGTACTTTCTGACAAAAAACTGACTACAGGTGTAACTAGCTGTAAGTGTAACTCGAAATCAGCACAATGAATATACATGAACCTATTGTGAAATACATGCATATGGAAATTAGGGTAATAAAAAAAGATCGAGTTCTCAGGAGTGTGTGTGTCCATTGAAAGGCAGTAAGTCCCCACATGCATGCAGCACTATAATAAACATACCGTTCCCTACAAACCTTTATTAGAATTGTAGAGTCTTGATTTTTTCCACATTTCAGCAGGGAGACAAAACAATTCCTGCTCTAGCTGGAGACCGAGGACAAATAATCCAAATCTCAGGCCCAAGAACAGAAACAACATGGGCTGAAGAGAGAAAACCAAAAAGGATGGGACTTCATAAGCTAAAGATACTGACAACTAACTCCAACATGCAAATGAACCAAAACTTATGAAAGTGTGAGACCCCATGACCTGTGGTCCATTTTTGTGTCCATTTTGGGTTGTGCTGCCCAAGGTGGATCTAGTTGAGGCCTCTTAATAAATTCCTGCTGCTTTATTCTTAAGCTCTGTCTAGTCTCTGTTCTAGGTCAGCCTTCACAAAGCATCAGTTGTTTAGTAATGTTCTGTTTTTCAGAGGTATCTCCATGCTGTAAATCGAATTTCTCATTCAGAGTCACAGAATTCCTTGATGTTTTTAAGCTTCAGCACAATCTCTGTGGTCCTTTGTGTTATGAGGGTCGTGATGTCCAGGCCTTCAGAGATAAGGGAAATGTGGAACTCTACAGAATGATTCTGACCACAGTAAAACTGCTTTTATTTTAGGAGTCCTAAGCACCAAAGCATATCCAGAATGCCTGCTTCCAGTTGAAAATTCCAAGCCCATGTTTTTATCCCAAATGGTAAGAAAAGCTGCTGCTCCTTCCTGCAATCCTGAGCTAAGAGAACAGCGTTTTCCTCAAAAAGCTGTAGCTCCTCTAAAAGCAGCACAAGATTTTGGCTCAGCCTCTGCACCACAGCTGTGCAGCTGCTTTTTCTCTTTGAGTTGCTGCTGGTGTGGTGTTACTGCTGCTGCTTTTGGAGGAACTTAGTTTAACACTGGGTGCTTAATTCTCTGTTGGTGAGCAATCCTGAATTGTACAAGATTAGCAACTTCTCTAAACTTCAGCAGGTACAGTTTCACTGCTGCTTCTTTGGCTACAAATGAACAGAATAAATTTACTTAGCACATAGAATACAGGGTTTTGATTTGAATTGTGTTTGTGGAGTTTTAGTCCCTAAAATGCCACATGAGTTCTTGCCAGCAATGTCCAGACCCTTCTGTGGCAGAGGTCATCGCATGTTTTTTTGCCAAGACCTTTGTGTTGCTGTGTGCAAATGGTTCAATTTTTGTGCTCAGCAGTTCCATCTACCTCTAAAATTTTGGCTGTAGAGGCTTTGATCTCTGCTTTTTCTGCTCTTCTCCTCAAGGATCCTCCTGGAGAAGCTGCAGCACAAGATGATCCTTTGGTACTGCTGGAAGATAGCAGAGGACCTGAAGGTAAAACACACCAATCACCCTTTTTTGTAAGGAGATTAATTAAAGGAAAAGGGAGCTTTTATTTGTTTTTTCATTATAGAAATTTCAGAGTGAAAATATTCAAAGGTTGCTTTGATAAAAAGATGATAATTGTAACAAACATTCTTTAATTTTGCAAATTTTATCTCATTGCTGGCATTTCATTTTTTTTTTAATTAACTGAGTGGGTCTTCTGCCAGTGTGCCAGTGTTGAGATTCCTTTTGTTAACCAGATATTCATGTCTCTGAATAGACAGTTTGGGGAAGGGGCTTGTTTTGATCCATTTTCCTCTTGTGAATTACTGTACTACAAAGGCATATTTTTCTTCAAGCAGCCTGTACCACAAAAGTGTCTTTCTAATCCTTAGGAATCCTAAAAATCACAATGTCAGTGTCGTTTCCTTTAATTTCTGAATCTGCCAATTTCAATCAGATTTAGGGAAGTGAAGGCTTTCTAAAGAAAACACATTTATGCAGGTTTCTTGGATATCTGGAACTGTGCAGAGGATAAAAACCACAAATAATACCCTAGTTAAGACAAAGAATCAGTACTTTTATACTCATAGGCAGCAGCTACCTGACTTAGCAGCATTTGCCTCCTCTGCTCAGCTAACAGTCGGTGAGGGAGAGCCTGCAATGTTTTTGGCATGATTTACACCTATTAAGAAAACTTGTAGTTTATGATGATGGCAGGGAAATACTCTTTCTGGGGTTTTCTTAATTAAACTTTTTTTCAAGTCAGAAATTGCAGTATTTTATTTTATTGACTGGGTTGCCTGAGCTCGAGTTACCATTGAGACTTTACTCAACGTTATTGGACTTCATTGATAGCAGCATTCAGTGCTATAAAAATTGTGTTAAATTAAGCCTGGTCTTACTCTTACCATTATTTAAGTTTTCTACTTCCTGAAAGGAAACAATTTGTTGTTGCAATAGATGATGTGGTTCCTGCAGGCGACAGATTCTTCCCAGCAAAATTAAATTGAAATATCTGAAATATTGAAGTAATTTAAATAAAATTGAAGTATTGAAGTAATACTTTGTCTCTACCTGTGAAATAGACATTTTGTGCCAATTATCTCAACAAAGGATGTTTGTCCTTCCCCACAGATGATGTTTTTATTTCTCAGTATGCTACTGGCCAGAAGGAAGCTCTGAGAGCAGCATTAATGCAAAAGTAAGTGTGAATTGTTGTTGGTGTGTGTGAGGAAGAAATGTTTTTTTTTTTTACAGTTCTCTGTCATTGTTCTTTTTCTGTGTATGCAAGTGTTTTCAATTGATTTTATTCCCTGGAGTATCTTGTGTCAAAACTTCCAGGAGAAATGCTGTGCGGGGGAAATATTTGCTTGGAGGAGATATGAAGAAAATGCTGTTTACAGGCACATTTTTATTTTTCTAGAACTCAGATTATTCCTGTTCATAAGGAGGTAAAGGTGCAGCTCTTGGGAAATGCCTCCACAGAAAAAAGGGAAGGTGCTGGGGATGACACCAGGTCAGCACCCAGGGAAGTTGACTCTGCAACAACCATTGCAGCAGCCACTGCTGCTGCCATTGCCACGACAGCTCCACTTCTCAAGGTGAGTGGGAGGAGCAGTTCTTTGTCCTCTTAAAATAGTAAATGCTCCAAACAAGCCTGAAATTGTTGATAGTAGCTCCAGAGAACCTCAATGTGTCTGCTCACTGATTTGTGTGTTTGTCATCTCACACTCGCTGACCAATATACCAGAGGGAACTGATTTGGATTTAACTAAATGAGCAGAAGACAGAGAATATTTAATTTATCTATTAGAAATTCACAATATTGCTAAACCACCAAAAATTTAAGGCTAAACAGAATTTTGTTTCTTTTCGGATGCAAATCCAGGATTCTGTGAAGGATGTTTTGTTCTTTTGGTGCTCACATATCTTCTGCAATAATGTTTTTTTCCCCCCCTTTCTTTTTTATTTTTTTTTAATCCTTTCTTGCAGGTTCAAAATGATTTGGAAGCAAAAGTGAACTCAGTTTCAGAACTGCTTCAGAAACTGCAGGAGACAGACAGGCAGCTGCAACGAGCGTCTGAACAGCAAAAAAACCTGAAGGCTCAACATGAGGAGCCCCACTACCACCAGAGAGTCAGCAAGCTTGAAAAACAAATGAATGCTTTCATGGTGCAAAGGATTCAGCACCTGGAAAAGCTACAGGAGCAACAAATGAATATTCAGGTATCTAAGTCACAAGGCAGAAACTTCAGGTTAATAATTTCTTCTGTATCTCAGAATTAATGTTATAATCATTTGGATTGTTTCTTAGTATTAGAAAGAAAGAAAGTTCAATGGAAATGGATCAAAAGAAGTGAAAGCATTCAACAATGAGAAAGACACTGAGGGGCTGGAACATGTCCAGAGAAGGGAATGGAGCTGGGGAAGGGTCTGGAGCCCCAGGAATGACTGAGGAGCTGGGGAGGGGCTCAGCCTGGAGAAAAGGAGGCTCAGGGGGGACCTCTGGCTCTGCACAGCTCCTGACAGGAGGGTGGGGCTGGTCCAGGTCAGGCTCTGCTCTCAGGGAACAGGGACAGGACCAGGGGAAATGGCCTCAAGCTGCACCAGGGTAGGTCTGGTTGGGTATTAGGGAAAATTCTTCACTGAGGGGTGGTCAGGCATTGGAACATGCACAGGGCAGTGGTGGAGTCACCATCCCTGGAAGTTTACAGAAATTATGGATGTGGCACTGGAGGACTTGGTTTGGTGGGGAGCATAGTGGTGCTGGGAGAAGACTTGGACTCAGTAATCTTAAAGGTCTTTTCATCTTTAACAATTCTGTGATTTAATGACCAGAAATATTCTGTACTTTTGTCTCCCAGTCCCATCTCATCAGCTCTGCAGTGAACATCCGTGGGCTGCAGCAGGGTCCTGTGCCTGCCCCTGGGCCCCTGGCAGGGCACTGGGAGAAGCCAGAGCAGAGATCACTCACAAATGAAGCACCTTCATCTCACAGGGGTTTATTCCCTGCCACTGCTGCACCTGCCCAAGGTGGGGACAGATTCTTCTTTTCACTCTTAGTTTTGCATTAATTTGGTGTCCATTAATATTGGATTGTGCATCACATCAGTAATGAGTAGTAAATATTTCTTCTGTCTAATTTGTTTTATTGGCCAATGCTCTTTATAATTTTTGTGACATTCTGAAGATGTTCCAGTATCTTCCAGTTTAAATTAAAGTGAGACTTTTGATGTACTGAATCTGCATAAGGAGGGGCCTGGATTTAAAATAATCTTACTGAGACATAATCTGTGTGGAAGGCTGTGATGAACTACAGTGGGGTCTTGGTTTTTTTAAAACCCCCTTATGATAGCAGTCAGAAGTATGAAATTTTCTTCCTGTTTACTTAACTAGTGCAGTAATGCTTTGCATTTTTGTGCAGAATTTATAGACCTGGCATGGGGTTTTTTCCCCAGATGTTTTTTCCTAGAGTCTGCAAGGGCAGGTAGTGATAGGACAAGGGGAAATGGCTCCAAACTGAAGGAATGTAGGTTTAGATTAGATGCCAAGAAGAAATTCTTGTGAGGGTGGTGAGGCCCTGGCACAGGTTGCTCAGAGATGCTGTGGGTACCCCATCCCTGGAAGTGTTCCAGGCCAGGTTGGACAGGGCTTGGAGCAACCTGGGATAGTGGGAGGTGTCCCTGCCCATGGCAGGGGGTTGGAACTGAATGATCTTTAAAGTCCCTTCCATCCCAAACCATTCTGTGATTCTATGATATCATTTCCTTTGAAGAAAATTGTCAACATTTAAATAACTTTATTTTTTCAGTGTTCCCTGAAGCATATTCAAGCACTTTTCCAAGTCATGGGGTTCATTCACAAAAATCTCCTCTAAAGACACCAGTTCCTCGAAGATATGTTCCAGAACCTGTACCCAAAAATGGGAAAATCTCAGAGAAAGAAAACTCTGTAGTAGAAAAAGAAAATATTTCCAAACCTACAAGAGAAGGTATTGCCCTCCACTGGCCTAACTAGTGTGGCCTGGTGGCTACTTTGTGCATTCCTCACCTTTTCTGACCTTTTCCCTTGGGTTGCTGGCACTTAAATGCATCTATTCAGAATATTTGGAATTTACATTTGGGAAGGGTTAGTTTTGTGTATAAGTCACTCATAAGTAACTAAATACTTAAAGACAGTGCTGATTTAATCTGTAGAGTTTCAACAGCACTGCTCACTGAAATATTTTTTCAAAGTCAAGTTTCAGGAAGATTTGACAGAATAATGTAAAACTTGGGAGCTACTCAATAACTTTGTCATTATCATTGGTTAAATTGAATTTTTATTTTATTTTTTCATGGGTCCACAAGGTCTCTGGGTTATTATATTGAAAGCAGCAGATGTAAAGTAAATGTGAAGTAATTTTCTTCTACTGCTTTTCATCAGGTTCTGTCTCTGTTACAAAGCTGTTAAGTATTCCTATTGTTCCATGGGTCCAGGAACAAATGAAATAAGACAAAAGAAGAAGCATGCTGTCCATAATGTCACAGATTTGTTCTCAATGACTCAGTTCATTGCCATCCCAGTTCCATCTGCTTTGCTAATTTAAAGCAATCTCAGAAAGACAGATTAGTGTGTGTGGTTTTAAGTGACTTGCCTAAACTGAAATAAGTCTGTATATTTAAAATGTAAATATTTTACTCTCCTTGGTGAGTATATTGAAATACCTGGAAAGGAAAAGAAAATATTAAATCTATTAAACTAACTTACCTTTCTTTTTTTTCTGCTTAATTTCACTTCATTGTAGGTGAAGGGAAAGGTCTGGAACACGTTTTGAATTCTCAAGAAACACTACTAAAGCAAGTAGAATATTCCAAGAAGGCAGCATTAAACAGCAATGAAAGGAGCTGGCATTCTGAGAGACACAGGTGGATAAACACAACAACCCAAAACTGAGGAGAAGTTTGTGTTTCCATGAAACTGGGAGAGGTGCATTAGACACTGATGCTGTACCAGTCACTGGTGTGGCCCTGCAGCCTGGCACAGCTGTGCAGGAGTATTTCTGTTGGCATTACTTTTGGCAGGACCCAAGGGAACAGCTGCAGCTGTGCCAGGGCAGGTTTAGGTTGGATATCAGGAAAAGGTTTTTTCCCCCAGAGGGTTCTGGGCACTGCCCAGGCTCCCCAGGGAATGGGCACAGCCCCAAGCTTGACAGAGTTCTGAGACTTTGGACAACACTCAGGGACAGGGTGGCATTGTTTGGGTGTCTGTGCAGGGCCAGGAGTTGGATTCTGATCCTTGTGGGTCCCTTCCAGCTCTGATAGTCCAGGATTCTCTGGTTCTGTTGAATTGCAGGCAGATTAAGTCTATCCTTTTTGCCTAAGGATAGCTCAGAACACCTTTCTCAGAGGTCAGCAGGTTGCACTTGGAGTGTTTTACAGGAGCATCATCCACCTAACAATTCCTAAGATTTAAAATGGGTGAAAAAATGTTCTTAGCCATGCACTCTGAAGCATATTTTCCCCAGGCAATAATTTAAAGTTAAAATTTCATTAATAAAGTGAGAAACTTCTCATATATGCTGTCTAATTTAGAACAGAATGCAGAAAGATCTTAATTGCTTCAAATGGAAAGATATCCAGAGTTTAAATGTTGCTCTATTAGATGTAATTTCACTATTGAAAATAAAAAGGATTGGGCTGAAGGTGTTAAGTGGTAAACAGAGAAAACCCAAAAACCTCTATATTACTTAAGATGCCAAAGCAAGTTCCAGTTTATCTAAAGCTTTGGTACTTGCACTGTAAATTCCTGCTTGGTTTCACAGTTGAATCCTTTCTTGGGGCACCTCAGGAGCCATGAGAGGTGTAACCTGAAGTGTTTCTCCCCTCAGACACAAAGCTTTGCCTCCAGATGCAATTTCTTCTTTTGAAAGCTACAGTTCAATTGAGAAAACAGTGCAAAAAGCAGATCATTTACTTCAAGATCTTGGCAAGTTGAGAAGAGAAATGCACAACATTCTGCAGGTAAAGTCAGTCTAATCACAATAAGCAAGGGTTTGAAGAAGGGGAATAAAAAATGTGGAGAAAAGCATAGAGGTCTGATACTAATAAAAGTGTTGCTCTTGCTTCTACACCTGTAAAATTATCCACATCTGTTTACAATTAATTGAAATATTGGAATCTCTGTGCCTGGAAGAGCTTTGTGCCTGACTAATGTTCTGGGTGTGCAATGGACTCTGATTGCCATTGTCCCAGACATAAAATAGGTGAGAGACAGGAAAGGACAGAAAGAGAAAAAAAAAAAAAATTGTTTGTTTTAAGGTTTTGGATATTTTCAGTCCCTGTTCTCTGCAGAACTACAGAGCTGATGTAATTTTCCCATTTGGGAAAAAAACAATGTTCCATTTATCTCCAGCCAGCTTTAGGGCTGATTTAAACATTTCCTTTCTCATTTTGCCACTTTTTTTTTTGTATTGAGTGCTGTTTCCAAGGAAGTGCCTGGCATAGAATCCTTGTGCTGTTTCTTGTGCTACTGATTTTGTTCCTTTGAGGGTGCAAGATCTGCTTCTGAGCTTGTGACAACTGAGGCTTTTATCTCTTACTCTGGTGCCATTCCTGGCTCCACCTGTGTGCTGTGGTCCTTTCTGTCCTTGTCAATACACACAGTGAGAAAGGAGAAAAGCTTGAAAATTCACCTCTGTGAATTGGCTTGAAATGTAATAACTTTGATTTTGCTGGTTCATTTCTGTGGTTGGAAGTTTTAACTTGCATATTTACCTAAAAAAATATTTTGTATTACCTGTCTGGTTTTTGTTGCTATATCTGTAGAAAAGGCAGCCTCATCTGTCATATAGCATAGCTGATGTATTTTTTATAGATTTTGTAACACTTTGTGGATTTTAAATTTAACTATTATTATTAAGAATGGAACAGGTGCCTTGTGCCCCACTGAGGTTGCAAATATTTTCTTACCACTATTGCTAAAAACTTAAATAAATCACATACCTTAGTAAAGGCAACAGAGCAAGATGAGACGGGATAAGGAATGGGAGAAAGACACAGTTACAGAAATTATTTGAAATCTCTTTTATGAAAAAGGTCAATAAAAAGACAGATGTGATGACTTAACAAATGCAGAGTTGGGTCAATTAAACATTTAGCTACTGACTCCTCATCATTGAGAGGTTTGAAAGTGAGATAATGATAAGGTTTTGGGTAAATTATAAACCATCTCTGTAATAAAGCAAAGGTGTGAATTAGCAGAGACAGAAGGTGGTGCTCTAACCCAAGGAATTCATTGTGGCCAGAGGAACTGATCCAGTATCTCCTATGAATTTTACCTTAAAGTTTCAACAGCTCTTCTTCTGTCTTTTTAGGAAGCAAGTACATGGAAATCTGACATGAATGATCTTATTAAGGTATACCTTGATTTTTTTATGTGTGTTTCTTTTGTGGGGTTTTGAGCTTTCTATAAAATACTCAAATGCTGAAGCAGTTTTGAGTGTGTTTGCAGGAAGCTGCTGTGTCAGATTGGCACAGTGTGGGCAGCATTTTTTACATATTTAACAGATCCAGGTACCATTTCATGATCTGGGTTTCACTAGCAAGTCCACACCATTTTACAATCATATATCAATATTTCTTACCTTTTCTCACAGATTTTACCTGTCTTACTGAGTTAGTATTTGTCAAAAAGTTTCATTTTAAAATGAAAGCCAATATAAAATTGATAAATAACTTGGTATATTGCCTTGAACATAAACTTTTGTTTCATTTTGATTTGACAAAAAAGTAACCTTAAAGCCAAAACTGAGTTGTGATATGTGAGATTTTTTTTTCTGTTCTTTCAGTTGATGTTTTCAGGGTCTACTCAAGTCTGGGCATTTTGGTTTTGGTTTGAGGTGTTTTTTTTGTTTGTTTGTTTTTTTGGTTTTTTTAAATGTACATTTATCGCTTTGAATTTTTTTACTATTTGATGAAGTTTTAATGGGCCTCTGGGTTTTTTCTCAAGAGTGTGAGAATGAATGTAAGAACTTGTTTCCTGTGTTTGTGTCCCTTTCTTTTGTACTTAGCAGCTAATTTATGCTCGATTTTTATCTCTGTAAAAGGGTTCTGCAAAGTGAGAGGTTTCATTGTTCCTTCTGGAAAGTGAAAATGAGTAAAAGTAAAAGAGGATCAAGGGGCTGCTGAGGGATTTATCCTGTTAAAACTTATAAGTTTTGCTTGGTGTTTCTTGGGGGTAGATTGATGCCAAACAAGTGCATATATTTAGAGGACTTGGGCTTTTATTAGGCTCTTAATTATATTTAATTACTGTTACATGGAGAGATTTGCTTGTGATACTTCATGTCTCTAATTGCCATCTTTTCACATGCTTATTAGCCTCATTAGCATTGCCTCTCATACTTCACATCATTTTCCATTTGAGTCCTTTTGGATGTCTTTCACTTCTCTAAATATATTTGCAGCATAATGAACATTCTTGAGTAATTAAGTTGCTGATAGTGCACATGGGCAGTATTTCATATGATGGCATTGATGTGATAATAGATTAATAGGAAATTACAATCTCTGATTAAAAGCTAGAGGTTCTCTTTCAATTTTAGGCAAAAAATCCTCCTATTGCACCTGATCCTCCTGAACATCATCTCGTCAGCAAACCATCCATCCTTCAAAATATCCAAGTGCCAAGGTCTATACTGACAGATGCTGAAAGGATTTTGAGAGGAGTGCAAAACAATAAAAAAGTCCTTGAGGAGAATCTGGAAGCTGTTAGTCATGCAAAAGATGGAGATGCCATCTATGCTTTCAGTAGCTCCTTGACTACAAACAGGTCAGAGTCTACAATTCAGTGCTTTGTGAGATTGATGTTTCCAAATCTGGGCATTGAAGAACTTGTGTTCTTCCCTGCAAAAAGGATTTATTGACTCTTGCTAGCAATCATCTGATTCTTGAAATACAGATTTTTTCGACCCTTGTGGTATGAACTGATTTTTGTCAGGTGCCTAAATCTGATTTCTTAGGCTTTAACACTGGACAAACTGCTCTGCTGCCAGGGCATTTAACTGTTTCCATACCAACATGCATTTAGAAGAAAATTGAACCCTAATTTAATTATTCAGAGCAGAAGAGGCTTCATAAGCCTGTAAATGTACAGAATTTAATCATCTTGCAACAGATCTTTGGCTTTGGAACTTTTGCTTTGTTAGTTGTGTTAAATACTCCTGCTTGAATCATAATGGAAATTTTCTATTAAAAAAAATACAATATAAATTTGCATTTTCCTGAGGAAGGTAGCTATTCTGTATGCATAAGGATTTTTTTTGAGGCATGTTACCTGCCCTCATCTTTTAGACAATGTAGTAATTTGTTAAGTTGGAATATTTTTGTTTTCTTGTTTTTTCAGTTGTGATCAAAGTAGGAAGTGACACATGGCTGCCTCTTATTCCTAAAATATTTGTAATGATGTCAGTATTTACCAGCAGGGAGTGGGGTTTGCAGGTGGCACCATGCAGGAGCAGATTTGGGGTTGGGACTCTCAATGTGTTTGGTGCATTTTAGGGAATGCAGAGGTGCAGAATCTCACTTCTGTGTTCTGGGCTTCTGGTTTTAGAGCATTTAAAGGTCACTACTTTCCCAAGAACAAATCTGTGCAATTTGAGAAGCATTGACCTAAAATGGTTCTTTCTTCTGTTTCAGAGATGTCCTGGAAGAGATTCGTATCCGAAGAACTGTGGATGAGAGGATCAAGGAAATCAGTGAGGAAATCCAGGTAGGGCTGGAAAAATGAGTTCAGATTTTTGTGTTGGGTTTTTCCACCTTGACCTTGTTCTTTCACGTCCACAGTAAAGTGATTTACTCACCTCCTGAAAACATGAGAAAGCTGCTTATTATTGCTGGCATATAGTAAGCTATAGTAAAATAAATATAACAAATAAATAATAATAATAATTGATAAATAAATAAATTAAAAATAAAATATTTACCTCTGTTGTAAAACTGCAGTTATGTAATAAAAACCCCTGGTCTCACTTGCTGGCTAACATGAAAAATAGGCCCTTTCTCATAGCTTCAAAGTTACCCATGCATTGCTGATAACCTTGAAGACAAAAATTTCCATTTATTACATTTATGTTTTCTATTTAGGCTGAAATGGCAAGAAATTATTCAGAACGAGGGAAACATGATCAGAAATGTACCAAGAAAACCCAAAACCTCAGGGCTGCAAAGACCAAGAAAGAAACTAAAGAGAAAACTCAAAACGTCCAAGGATGCTTGACAAAAAAGCCTTTACCTGTAGCTAAGCCACTGCAGAAGGAAGTGGAAGATAACACAAGGAAACAGAAGTTTAGAACTTACTTTTCTGAAAATGTGAAGAGTAAAGAAAGAAGGGCAGATGTGAGTTGCCAAGTAGTTGGTTTATTTTCTGGGAAAAAAAACTGTTTAGTATTGACATGAAAAATGGTGTGTGCAGGTGTACTAATTCAAAATGAAAGTGATAGCTTTGTCCTGCTCCAATTTACATAAATGAAGAATTGTAAACGACTTTTTTTTTTCCTTTTTGGCGTCCATCAGGGAGCTGTAGGTGGAACTACACTGACCACATATGAAGATTATCTGTCTCAAGTTTATGGAAAACCAATTTACCAGGGCCACCGGAGCACGCTTAAAAAAGGACCTTACCTGAGATTTAACTCTCCCTCTCCCAAATCTAAACTGCCCAGACCCAAGCTGATAGAGACTGTTAGAGGTAAGTGATTCTTTGATGGGAATAAGGTGTTCCTTCCCAGTTTTTTTACCAGGAATTCCTTGTGAAAATGAATCTGTTCATTTTAGTTCATCTGCTTTTCAATATGAAGTTTAAGCAACTGCAGTGGCTTTTCAGAGAGGTGGTCACTGCCTCAGGTTGGTCAGGGCTTAAGAGGCATTTGGAAAATGCCTTTCATTTAATTTTTGGTCAGCCCTCAAAATTTAATTTTTGGTCAGGCAGTTGGACTAGATGGTTGTTCTAGGTCCTGTCCATTTGAAATAGTTTATTTAAGATCCTCTTTTCAAAACTAAAAAACACCAGAAGTTTTTCAGCTTTGCTTAAGGTGTCTCTTGCTTATTTTAGATTGTCAAATAAACACTTATTTCTAAATATGATAAATGTATTAGTATGTGTTTATTGTTGTCCAAGATTTAATGAGCTGAATTGCTAAAATTAATCACAAGTGAGTGTGTTGGAAAATGAACTTAGTTTTTTATAAAGGTCACTGGGAGATGTATTTTTGTGTCAAGTTTATCCAGTGATTTTTCATTTAAATATTTAAGTCATTCAGAGTTCAGAAATGTACTGAGACTTGAAAACTGAAAGAAGTCTGATATTTAGTTTCTTGTTTCAAATGAATAAATTGAAATATGAAAAATTAAATATATGGGCATGAAGATGAAAATATTGAAAGATGTAATCAGAATAATTGATTAAGTTCACTAAGTGCAAGTAACTCCTTTTTCTCCATCCAGTTAGAGTTATAAGCAGAAGAGAAATCCTTTCTGTGATAGCTTGTTAAGGTTATTGAACTGATAAAGGTTATTAGTTGGTTAATAATGAATTCTGTTCCTTAGTTTTGTTGGCAAAGTGTTAGGATAAGAGGCTCCTAATTTTCTAACTAATAAAAATGTGTAAGAATAATTACAAAAGGAGACTAGATGATATCTGACATAGGTCAGTGTAGATAAACTTAATCTAGAGTTAGTAATGTTTTAACTGGATCTGTTTTAGTTCTTAATTACCTTTTCAAAACTTAACTGATTCTTGATGCAAAAACTAAGAATAATCTTGAACTGGTACTACAAAAAAGACAGTGTGGATCATTTTACTGGAGAGAAATGACATGAAAAAAGATAATGATGAAGGGAAAGTGTGGAGGTGGGAGAGAGGCTTAAGAGGAAGAGGTGGTTAAGATGGTGGTGGGCACAATGGAGTTAATAAGATGTGCACCCATGGAAAAATATTAACTGGCTCCCTCCATGCTTCTTGCACTTAGGCTGTTGTTACCCATGCAGGGAAAATATACTTGATGCAGTCTTAAATGCCATGTTTAAAAATGCTGCCTGGGTTTTTATTACAGCTGTCAAAACATTACATTCTGTGTGAAATATGAGAGATTAACATCAGAAGGCAGCCAGTCACTTGATGAAATCATGTTTTTAGGCCATTGCAATGGGTGGTGTAAAACATATCTGTGTTTCTGAAGACAGGCAGTGCTGAGGTTTGAGGCAGGGGATTTTAAAACATCATCATTTTAATCATCATCATTATTATTATTATTGTTGTTGTTATTATTTGAGGCTGGATATTTTAAAGCAAAAATATGGGGTTTTTTAATTTATTTATTTTAATATTACTAAAATAATAATGGTCTAGTGGAAGGTGCCCATGGCAGGAGGTCAGAACTGCTTGATCCTGAAGATTCCTTCCAACCCAAACCCTCCTGTGATTCTGTGGTTAAGATGTACATCCACAGTGGCAAGTCCTCAAAATAGTGCAAGAATCTCTTGTTTGGCCTGAGCTGGTCTTTATGGCACTTTACTTACCTGTGCTCTGGAGCCCAGTTGTGATCTGTGAAGAGAAAGTGTTATTGGTAGACATTATTCCCAATTCTCAACACCCTCCTGGAAAATGTGGGTTATAGCCCTGGCAAAAAACCTAGAAAACTTTTCAAAACTCACCATTTTTTTAAAAGGTCACATCAAAACTGCCAGCCTTGTGACTTAGGTATTTTGTTTGCCCTCTCTTGGATGACTTTGCTTTGGTGAAAAATAGTGTATCCTCTGTTATACTCACTTGAGGCACGATATAACACTGGTTTTGACTATTGGCCGTGCTGTGCAACCATAATTTAATTTATTCTGTATAGATCTTTTTGGGTGAAATGTGTGCTAGTAAGCACTTAGGGTAGTAATAACAGTGACCACTAAAATTTGGATTGAGAACAGACACTTCTTTAAAAATATTTAATCAGCAGTTCTGCTTTTGCTGAGTCCTAAATGAATTTTCTTCTGTATTTATTGGCCTCTTGTCTTTTACAGAAGGTCATAACCTTTCCAGGAAGGCCAATTTCATCATTCCAGAAACAATATTTTGTGAAGTGGCAGAAAGAGTGCCCCCCTCCCCAGTCTAATTATAACAAATAGGCCATTTGATCATTTGAAACCACCAGCTGAAATTCAGTGACATGGAAAGGTGCAGCTTCTGTGCAGCTGGAACGAGCTGCTCCTGTGCTTCAGCTTTTTTCTCTTGGGGGCAAATAGAAATGAAAGGGAAAACTGCACTGGATCAATGCTGCCTTCAATCTTGCAGAGCTCCTGCGTGTGACAAACAGCTTCAAAGCTCTTTGCTGGCAAACAGAGTGAACTCTGGATAGCCTTTTTCCACAGTGCTTCCCTTCCAAGCCATGAAGTCATGCTGCAGGAACAAAAACGTGTGTTTGCAACAGTAAAGCCACCATAAAATTTGTTTCTCTATTTAATATCAGGCTGGAGTTATGGAAGTTATGGTTTTGTCTCTATCCTGGCAGTAAATAAAATAAGGCACCTCCTTGTGTTCTTATCTGAAGGAAAAATAGAATTTTTTGCACATTGTGTAAAGGAGCAGCACTCCAGTGAGTGTGTCCTACTCCCAAGCTTTCTGATTTTAACTGAAACTGAGGTTTGTTTGATACTGGCATTATTTATCTTTGCCTCTTGGTGAGACTGTTGGTCAAACTGCTTGATTTTTGTCCTTTCCTTACCTTGCCAATAAAATGGAAAAATAATCCGTGGTGTTTCATGTGGGACTCACAAAGACAAACCAGTTCCATCATTTTGGGGGCTGCTCTTTGGGAAGAAGCTGTTATGGCAAAGCAAAGTATAAATAATAAAATCAGGAATAGTTCTGTGCTCCTCTACAGGAGGAGTGTAAATAAAATGCACCAAGGTTGAATGAGCACTTCAAAGCACCAAGTTTTTAAAAAAACAAAGGAGGAAATCAACAAATCTCTTTCACCTTAGGCATGATGAGTTCTTCCCTTCACAGATTCCCTTCCTGGCCTTGATGTACCAGGTGATAAAGGCTTCAAAATTATTGTCAGTCTTTGGCCTTGGGTTTGATTGGCTGAAAAATCCAGACTCGTTAAATTACTTTATTTTGTTAGAGCAGTCCACTGAGCTTGTTTTAAATTAGTGTTAGAATAAGGATGTTTATTTAAGACTGAAATGGCCATCTGGAGAGTCTCTTTTCAGTCATTTTATAACTCTCAACCATTTTCTTTGCAAATAAACTATGGTGACTAATGCTTAGTTTCTTATGGGAAGTTAGGCAAAAAATTCAACTAGCACTTTTATGAGTAAGAGATCATTTCTAAAAAAAAAAAGCTGGAATTATTTTCTTGCATAATATGAACTGATAAATACATGTAAAACACTGTTTTTCTAAAGCTAAGTTTAATTAAATGTCTAGTTTCTGCCCAGTGCAAATAAACTTTGCAGAGAAAAATGAAAAGTTGCAAGCAATTAAAATGAGGTGCTGTGTGTATACAGTACTTAATCATTCTCACTGTGAAAACCTTGTTTTTGCAAGTTGGCAGCATTACAGATACGCTGCCAATTCCTGCTTTTACTCAAAAGTTCAAGGCCAAGGGGGACTGTTAGATCATGTGGTATGACCTCTTCTAAATCACAAGCCTCTGAACTGTATCTATTTATGTTACAGAGGCCAGTAGTTTGTCTGACTGCAGAACAGTTTTTTGGGCTAACCTGTGCTTTGCAGAAAGGCATAAGCTCATCATTTAAAGACAGAAGAAGTTCTGCTTCTTCCCATGGCAAAATATCTTGTGCTTCAAAAGCAAACAGGACACTTCAGATTTATGATCTGATTTGTAGTGAGGTTTTGGCTTCAGTTTACAGCTACTTCATTTTCCAGGTGACTTTTCCTTAAAAAATGAAGATTGCTTATTAATGTCTAATTTATTTTAATATTTGCAGAGGTACAGAATTAGTGCTATCATTTATGGAAGTCTTCTCTTGCTCCATATCTCAGACATTCTGCTGAGACCTCTGGGGGTTACATTTATCCTGTTGACCAAGGCATTGTGTTGTGATTTCTCATTCCATTCCTTACCCAACACAACCATAAACCCTTTCCTAGAGATGCTTCTTCTGGCCTGTGTTTTCTCACTGAGGAGTTGTGACTTGCTCTTGTTTCCAGGCCTACAACCCATAATTTGTCTGTACAAAAATACCACTTTATCTGCTTGTCTGCATCTAACAAAAGTCACGTTATCAATCTTTATTTTCCCTATGTTTTATAATCATTGACTTTCATTCTTCAATTAATTAGGAGGCTCTTAAATGTGAACAGAGCTAAGAAGTGCTTGTTGCTACGTGTTGACTGGCTGCAGGTACAGGGAGGTGATTATTAGAAACAACAGAGGAGTAAAATGACATTTTTTTGGCTGTTATAAAGGCATGGAGTTGGTTATCAGCATGTTTCTTTCCAAATTCATTACCCTAACACCTACAAAATAACAGTAGAAGCACTTCTGCCTGATTGACAATTGTTGACACCTTTTTGGGGGGAATTTTCAGGCAGTTTTATTCATTTATATTAAAGGTAATAATTTCCCTAATGATATTCATTGTTTGCTGTAAGCAGCATAAGACCTTGCATGACTGTATGGTGAGAAATGCACATTGCAATAAATGCTCTCCTCTGCTCTTTGCTTAAGACATTTTTACATATAAATTACTTCTGGCTGGCTATTTACAATACACTTGAAAAGCTGGGCCAAAAAATCATGATGGAAATCAAGACTTTTGGGTTTTAGCTATGGTTTGATTTTGCAGTAGCAATGAGTTGTTAAAGCAGGAATTTTCAGATTATACCTGTTCCTCTGAGTACCTGTCGATTTTGTGGCTGCATTTCAAACCTGCATCCTGGATTTCTTCTTAGCTGCTAAATCACACATTCAGTTCCAAATTTCAAACTTAAATAATGGATTTCTTCTTAGCTGCTAAATCACACATTTTGTTCCAACTTATGGCTGTCCTTTGGTCCTTTTCACGTTTCTCTGCCCTTATCTGCTAGATTCAACTAAAAATTGCATTTTTAACTCCTTCATTGCTGCCAATACGGAGACATCTTTCAGGTTCTGCCCTTTGGAACTCCCTCCCTCATTCCCTCCATCCCACAGCAAAAATTTGCAGTGGATTCAGTAGGAAGGCTTGGCTCAGTAGAGTGTTGTCACTGGGTTTGTGCATGCTTTGTGACCTTTCCAGCTTGTGTGCTCTTGTTTCAGGCACAAAGGTGAAGTCAGCAAAGACCCAGACCTGCTCTCACACGCAGAAAGTCATCAGCAGCCCCAGGAAGAAGAATCCTCTGTATGCCCAGCAGAGCCAGTACCTCTTCAGCCCCAGCCAGGATGTCCCTGCTGCCTCGGGTCCTCTGGAAGGTCACCTCATTCCCATGGCTGTTCCACTAGGTAGGAGCAAATAACCTGCAGCAGGTTGTGTGCAGGTTAACTGCTGCTATTTCATGGAAATACAACTTTTATCTTCTTAAATCAATGGTTTGGGGGTTGGGATTAGGTGATCTCTGAGGTCTCTTGCCACACAAATCATTCCATGAGGTTTGCACCTGCCCTTCCCATAGGAAATCTGAGGGATTGGTTGAAAATGTTCTGGTTTTCCTCATCCTTCGTGCTGGATGTCTGGTGACACCCTGACAGAGCAATTACTTGCTTAGCTGTACCTGTTTTGGTTCATTTTGGTTTTAGGCTTCATGTTCCTTTCAGTTTGATATTCAGGAACTGAATCACTCCCCCTTGGATTCAACATTTGCTATGACTTCAGCCCAACAGTTTCAGTAGGACTGTGCCAAGCACAGTAAATTCCTTGTCATGACTTCTGGATTTTTGCATTTTCAATAGAACCTTTATATAGGGCTTGTTTTGAGAAGGGTTAGTATTATATAGGCATTGAAATAAGGTAATTATTTTTTTAAAGGGCTGTCTCAGACAAAAATTTGTGGGTTGTTACACCAAGTGTACTTGGGGTGTGATGGTCTGTAGTTTTTGAATGGCAAACACAATTCTTGTTTTCAGCAGTAGATGTCACCAGAGTCAAGAAAAGTGAATAATTTTTAAAAAGGGTAGTGTTGAGTTGACAATTTCTACTGGGAAAGCTTAACATTAGCTGGTGAATTACTGTAGTTTAGCTAATGTTCATAGGGGGCTTTTTAATTGGTCTGTAATTGCACACAGAATCTCAAAACACACAGAATATAATTTTAATTAATTTATTAATTTCCTGCCTTTGGAGATGGATATATGAAGTTTTAATTGGTTTTCAACTGTCTTTAGGTCAAACCCAAAGCAGCAACACATCACTGCAGACTGCAGGAGTAATCATAGATAAACCACACCCTATCACAGTTACAACCTCTCTTCCTCAAGTGCCACCAAAGCCTCCAGTCGAGGTAAAAAAACCAAATATAGCTGTGATAGAGATGAGATCAGAGAAAAAGGACCCACCTCAGCTCTCTGTGCAGGTACATGTCAAGAGTGATGATGATTTGTTTGTTTATTTTAATGAGTGCTAACTACAGGCAGCCTGATCCATCAGTAACAGACTTGGACATCAGTAGATGGTTTTCAGTAAGAATTAGAAAAATATGGAATGGAAGCACCAAACAGTTCTCATGCTATATTAATATATTTATTCATCTTTTAACAATTATCTTTATTAGAAAATAGAAAGGGAAGAAATAGAAAACTATTTTTTCACTAAGTCACCTATGCAGGGCATTTGTAAAATTTATGTTACATTTTCTTTTTTTTAATGAGATTTTTGAGCCAGAACAAACTTGGAATAAAAGAAGTATAAATATAAATGTCAGTTTTCTTGGATGATTGCTTTGGCCTTTAAGATTTCTGTTTCAAGCATGATTGTCAACCCAAGGGTTTCACTCCTGATTAATCAACCCTTGCAGTCCTTACCTTGTGGGATGGGGTTTGTTGTTTTCATTTTTACATGAGTCTGTTGTCAAGGAAGTGAATGTTTCTAACATGTTCCTTATTTTGGATTCCATTTGTTGAGGCTGCACCCACTCTCCCCCACACCTTTCAGACACAAATGATTCATGGAACTCAGAGTTAAACACAGGTAGGGTGTTCTGTGCTTTGTTCCCTTGCTGTGTCACTTCATTCCACCCACTGACATTTTGCTGTTATTTCATCCAGTTCTTAAATATTTAAGGTGATTTTTCTTTTCCCAGAGGAATGAAGCATTGAAATCTTTGTTCTTAACAGAAATACAACACATTTTAATGCTGTAATGGATGTGCCTTGATTACAAACTATATTGTAATTTTCTAAACTACTTGCAGGTCCAACACACCTCTGCTCTGACTATTTTAGTTAATTAGTACAGTTACACTCACCTTCTGTTCCATGCAAGACAGTGTCAGGAAATTAGAGAACAGGAGAATCAGGTACTACAACTACAAGAGGAGAGGGACTATTTCTTGTGTTAATTTTTGACATTACAGTAATTTGATTTTCAGAACCAATACTGATACCAGATACAGGCATGAGAAAAGGTGAGCACTGAATTTTAGTGGCTCAGAAGCATGTGGAAGAAAAAAATCTAAAAAGTTCAATGATAATAGCTAAGCTAGTATGTAGATTTTTTTATTGATGCTTTTTTTTTTCTGTCCTAGGTATTACCAAATGTTGATATTGACAGTGTTTCAAGTGCCAGTGGGAGTGTAAGTCCTGTTCCTCCAGGCTCTGAGCCTCTGCTCCCTCTTGTCAATGCTGTAATACAGGTACTGATTGTCTGGCAATTCAAACTTGCTCAAAAGGAAAATATGTTAAATTGCTGCAAAGTTCTCATTGTCTTTCTTTAGTTAGAGAAATGAGACAGTTCTAGAAAAAATGAATAATTATTCTAAAGAATTTATAGTACAAGGTATTTGTTTAAGAAAATGAAAAATTGTAGAAAGATGCCTTCTGCCAAGATTAAATTGCCACCATGGTAAAATGCTTAAGAAAAACAGTGTTCATGTATCCTGTAAAGAATTATTATCCCTGTTGGCCCATGCCTGTCTTGTTTTCACTGGCTTCAGTGCTCTCAGGATGTTCCTCATCCCTCCCTCTGCTGCTTGGCTCTTCTGGAGTGGTCAGTGGTGTGGGCACTGAACCCCAGGAGCCTGTGGTGGTGCAGTGGCCACTCTTTTCTCTTTCCCTACAACTTTTCAGAAGTGTTTTTAATCTTGATGTGAGCAGCAGGGGTGGTTTTTGTGCAGCTCTAAGGGTAACTGCTGTGTGCTGAGGGATCAGGACAGGGTGTGAGAAGGCTTGGTGAGGCAGTGATTATTTTTGTGTGGGTATTGTACATTCCATTTTCCTCACTTCAGGAGTTAGGTCCTCCAGAGTCCTGTGATGGTATTCACTGAGTCAGACAGATATTGTGGACAAAAATAGTGATTTGTATTTAAAATTCTATTATTCCATCCCAGCAAGTTGATTAGAGAGATGGAGCTCCTCTCCTTTGAGGAAAGGCTGGGAGAATTGGGATTGTTGAGTCTGGAGAAGAGAAGGCTTTGGGGTGACCTTCCAGTACCTGAAGGGACCCTACAAGAAAGAGAGAGACTATTTACAGGAGTAAGGACAAGGGGGAATGGCTTCAAACTGACAGAGAGTAGGTTCAGATTGGATATCAAGAAGAAATCTTGGATTGTGAGGCTGCTGAGGCACAGGCTGCCCACAGAAGCTGGGGCTGCCCCATCCCTGGAAGTGTCCCAGGCCAG